TATTTATTATTTATTTGTTTGTTTGTTTGTTTTTGTTTATACATGCACTGGGTACAGTCAGAAGCACGGGAGGGTGAGAGAATTCACCAGAGCCAGAACGGGGAGCAGAGCAGGCAGAAGGACCAAGGTACACTGCTGAGGGGAGCAGCGGGCGGCAGGAGAGGTCTGCTCGCCATGTGGGACCCTCCTCCGGTGGCCGGGGAGCAGCCGGGGATCGAACCGGTGCCTTAGAGGCCGCGGGCAGCTTCGCAACCCAGCGCTCAACCGCTGCGCCACCGGGGAGGCCCTGAAAATACCACCTTTTTAAATAGTGCTCGTATTCAACTCAATAAAACAAATAATCCAATTAAAATAATATAAAGGATCTCAATAGGCATTTTCCCAATGAAGACAAATGGCCAACATGAATGATAACATCAGTGATCACTAGGGAAATGCAAATCAAAACTATAATGAGGTCACTGCATATCTGTTAGAATGATGACTATCAAAAGGCCAAGAAATACTAGGTGTTTGGAGAAAGAAACACTTTTTCAATATAGGTGAGAATGTAAATTGGTGGTTACTATGGAAAACAACATGGAGCTTCCTCAAAAAATTAAAAAAAAAAAATAGAACTACCATATGATCCAACAATCCCACCTCCAAGTATGCATTGGAAAAAGATGAAGTCATTATCTAAAAGAATTATCTTTACGGGTCTCCCCGGTGGCGCAGCGGTTGAGCGCTGGGTTGCGAAGCTGCCCACAGCCTCTGCAGCGCCGGTTCGATCCCCGGCTGCTCTCCGGCCACCAGAGGAGGGTACCACATGGCGTGCAGACCTCTCCTGCCGCCCGCTGCTCCCCTCAGCAGTGTACTTGGGTCCTTCTGCCTGTTCTGCTCCCCGCTCTGGCTCTGGTGAATTCTCTCACCTTCCCGCGCTTCTGACTGTACCCAGTGCTTGTATAAATAAATAAATAAATAAATCTTTAGTGAAAAAAAAAAAAATTACTTAAAAAAAAAATATCTTTACATGTTCATTAAAATATGATTATAATAGCCAAGATAGGGAAAAAGGAACCTCAGGGTCTGTCAATGAATGAATATATAAGTAAAATGTGTCATGAATGAATGAAAGTATGAATAAAATATCATTCAACCTATAATAAAAGGAAATCTTGTCATCTATGATAACTGATGAAACTGGAGAATCTAAGAAAATGAAATAAGTCAGATATAGAGAGAAATACTGCATGGTTTCACTTTTATAAGAAACAAGCAAACAAAGCCAAACTAATAGGTACATAAACAGAATAAAATTAAGTGCTTGGCCAGAGGCTAGGTGTAGGGAAGTTGCAAAGGTGTAGGGAAGAGAAGTTGCAAAGAGGCACACACATTTACAAAAATAAAAAAAGTCTAAGGAGCTAGTGTATTTGCTAAGACAGTAGAAATCAATTGTTCTTACACATACAAAAAAAGATAAATATGTGAGGAGATGGATGTGTTAATTAACTTGATGAGAGAATCTTTTCAAAATGTATGCTTAATCATCATGTTACATACATTATTTTATAATTTAAATTGCAGTTATATCTCAACAAAGTTGATATATTCTGGATAAAAAAAATTATGCATTATAACATGACATAACATAGTGCAAGTACTAAGCATGTGCTAGTAAGTACAGTTTAGTGCTCATTTTATCTCACTGAGGTCAACGAACATGAACTTATTCTAATGTTTTATTCCTTGTCAGTTTATGTAAATTCCTATGCTTGCTTTAAAATAAATATTTATTCTATATAAATGGATACAAGTTTTCATATGTGCCTAATAGATCAAGTTTGTTTACACTGTTATTTACATTTTCCAATGTTTTTACCATCTTTAATCTATTTGGTCTATCAGTGTGTTTTGGTTATGAGAATGGTTATAGTCTTTACTATCAGGTTAGGTTTTAAGTAATATGCAATTATAACATTGCTTACACTCTTAAGGGGTATTGCATTCATCCTCAGATAATATCTTTGTTTTTCCTGTTAATGCTTTTTTCTTTTGTTTCTATTTTGTCTGACAGTAATATCACTACTCCAGTTTTTTTCTAATTAGTATTTCCCAGTACAGCTTTTCCCCTTTATTTCATTTTAGTGTGTTTTTCTAAATTACTCAAATTATTATCCCATTTCTAGCCTTTAATAGTTTGTATATACATCATAATTTTTACTTGGCTTCATTTCCACTATTTTACTTCATATTTTCTACTTGCCAACGGTTTTGTTCCTTTTATCCTCTAAATATTTTCAAGATTTTTGTAGGAGTTTCACTATTTTTTTCTCTTTCATTGCTTTGTAAATCAACCATTACATATCTAGCATAATTGTGATTACCGTAATTTTAAGCAGTTGAGCATAAGCTATATTTTTCATTTTACTTTTCTTGATGCTTTTGCAGATCTCAAGTGCAAAGTATTATTACACTGATTAAAACCTTGGCTTAGAATATACCTGAGCATGACTTTTATCTGTGTATTCTTATCTATGTATGCCTATCAATTTGTTGAAAATAATAAGCACTTTTAAATCCACTATGCCATATAAATCTTGAACCATGAAAAACATTTAAATCTACCTATTTGATCCCTTATAATTCCATTCCCCATTGGAGGAATCACATTGTGAATACCAAGTTCATTATTCCACTGCATTCTCTTTCTTTAGTTTCATCTATGCTTTATGCATTTCTAAAATTATTTCAATTATTTTTAACAATCTATAAAGCCCTTTTGTTCTATATAGTATTTATGGAATTACATTTTTATTTCATATTTATATTCATTCACATTTTGTCCATTGTTCATAAATTTTGACTGACATTTTAATTTTGTTTAAAGATTTATTTATGCATATAAGAGATGGGGTACAAGGACTCCACTGGTGGCGCAGGCGGTTGAGCGCCGCACTGTGAAGCTGTCTGCAGCCTTTGCAGTGCGGGTTCGATCCTGACCAGCCGGCAAGGGTCCCACATGGCGCAGCAGACCTCTCCTGTCTCGCCCGCTGCTCCCCTCAGCAGTGTATTTCAGTCAATCTGCCTGTTCTGTTCCCCGCTCTGTCTCTGGCCAATCCTCTCACTCTCCTTCGCATCTGGCCTGTACCCCGGTTCTTGTATAAATAAATAAATCTGAAAAAAAAAAAAAAAAAAAAACAAGAGCCGGGGTACAGGCCAGATGTGGGGCAAGGTGAGGGGATTCACCCTCTCCAGAGAGGGAGCAGACCAGGCAAATATACTGAAATACACTGCTGAGGGGAGCAGCAGGAGACTCAGGAGAAGTCTGCTGTGCCATGTGTGTTTGCTCCCTGGCAAGCTTGGGATGGAACTTGTGCTGCAGAGGCTGCAGACAGCTTCATAGGTTGTGTTTTAACCCCTTGTGCCACCAGGGAGGCCCCCAATTTTGACCGACATTTTTCTACCAATCTTTTTGTCAATTATATGAATTGAAATACATTTTCACACTTTGTAATTTGTCTTTTATTTTTAGGGTATATTTTGATTTAAATCTTTTTTAATTTGAGAATTTTTTTTCCTATAGTTGATAGTTAGAACTTGTTTAATTTGAAAACCTCCCCAAAATCAATATTAAAAAAATAATTTAAATTATAGGATTTTAAATTTTAATTTTCAAGATATGTTTTTGATGGAGCTTCAAGAGTATTTTTGGCTAGAAAGACTTTAATCCATTTGGATATAATGGATATTTCAATTTTTATGAGGAAAATTTCCATTTTACCATTTTTCTATATGGAGCTCCACAAAAAGCCCTGTTCCCAGAGAATTCTCATTATCTGATCTGTCTGGCAATTCCCTGGAAACCCACCCACAGGGCTTGGCTTTTTTGATCTTACTCAGTGTTCAAGCATTGTGAGCAGTTTTTTTTTTCCCCCTGAGACATTTGTCAGAAACAAAAGCTATAATTGTTTAACATCAAAGCCCCCTGAGGAAGTGGTAATAGTTGGTGCAAACAAGATGTCCAAAGCATTTGAATGGAAAAATTGAAGAATTAGATGTACATAAAGAGCTTTAAATAGCTTTGCCATTTTTCCTGAGTATCTAGAAGGTAAAACCAGAAAAGGCCCTTTTCTCAACTCTGTCTGTCTTGAAGTTCTGCACAAATGGAAATAAAAGCTACTGGCAGACTTGCCCATGTCTGCTGGAGTGTTGAAGGCTTACAGCAACACATACATAGAGCTCATGACTTAAAAAAAAAATAAGTACCATATTTTATTTAACCATCTCCATCTGCATTTTCTTTTTTTTAATTTATAAGTTTTCAATTTTGCTCTAAAGTGAAAAATTATTTTTTCAGATAAATTTACTCTAAATGTTGTCTGTTACAAACACTTTAATATTTGGAAATCAAAACAGGGAAAGATACAGGCAATTAAGCCATCATTCCTAAGCTTCATCTTAGCTTTCTTTTTTTTTTCTTTTTTTAATTTAAAAATGGAGATACATATTCCACCTACATTAAAAGGTTATTTATATAAATGCATATAAAGTACCTAACACAGAGTAAGGCACAAACTATAATGTTATACTCCTGTATTTCTGTACATATAAATGGTACCTTTGATGACAATGTTGATGATGTGATAGTGATGATGACAATAGAGAAGGATGAAGGATTTTAACTTTTTTTCTAATTCTGATCTTCAAAGTTATATTTCTACTCTGGGTTTATGAAAACAAATATTATATCCTTAAAGAAATACTCTAAGAATTCCATGTATATCAGGAACTGAGGAGGTTTCATCATAAGAAACATAATGATGACGAGGATAGATTCAGTAATAACTTCAAGTGAATTATTTATCATATCTTCATTTCCCTAAACATATTCCTCACTGGTAGCAGGTTTTATTGTTTGTCCATTTGTAAGTAAATTAAAGTTGATTTCAACATGTTGATTATCCTTAGTAATCAGCATTGAACATGGCTCATTGTCAACAGACCTTGTTTATTCTTACCTTGGGAATATAGGGAGAAAATTCATCTTACTTCAAGCAAGCCAGTGGCAGGATGATACAGGGTGATGCATTCCTAGATCCTCTTTCTGCAAGCCTCAGGCATGCTTCACTCATTAGGCAGAAGTCGTTGTACACTGGGCAAAAGATACATGTGACATTCTCAAATCCATAGTGCAAATCCATAGTGCAAAAGCTAAACATAATATTGAGACAAAAGTTTATAAACTAAGATGCAGCTATTAGTTGAATGTGAATATTTCAAATAATTTTATTATATATATTGTTCAATAATTTTTATAAAGTTTCATCATGGAGTATTGAGAAATCATCTTCAATATGCTTTAATGTCATAATGCAATGTGAATGGTATAATTTATTTATTTTTTACAGGTTTGTTTATACAAGAACCAGGGTATAGGCCAGATGCACAGGAGGGTGAGAGGATTCACCAGAGACAGAGTGGGGTACAGAACAGGCAGACTGACTGAAATACACTGCTGAGGGGAGCAGCCGGTGAGACAGGAGAGGTCTGCTGCACCATGTGGGAATCCTGCCGGCCGGCCTGGATGAAACCTGCACTGCAGAGGCTTCAGACAACTTCACAGTGCAGGGCTCAACCACCTGCGGCACCAGGGAGGCCCACAAATATACAATTTATAAGTCGGTTAGTGCTGTAGTGGCAGGAGGACACATGGCAGGATCTCTATGACTCGAGCAGAGGGGGTAAAGAGGAGAGAGTCCTGAACCCTCAGTGGCCTTTCAGGCTTTTACTGGGATTTACCAGGTACACAGCTGGCAAGGGGTGCCAGGAGGCTAGGAGACTGGTGGGAGGCTACCAGCCTCCAAGCCGCAGCAAATCTTCACTCTGGCTGGGCTCTCCGGCGTTCTCTGGTGGTTTCTGCTTCTCTGCTCCCTGCTCCTCTCGTGGTTCTCCTGGTGTCCCCATAATGCTTCCCTTATAAGCCCTGCCTTAGCCCAGGTGAATCCCATCTACCTAGGCCCACACCCTATTCCAGGTGCCCGCCATCAGGCATGCATTCAGGACCTCAGGGATCTATCATCAATTCTAATGGTGGGAGGGCAGAAAAGCCAGATGCTTTTTCACTTACCCTACACATGCATTGAAAGAATATTGAATTAAAGTTAGGAGTTAATCAATGTGTTTCCATTTTTATATTCAATCATTCTGTGAGCTTGAGCAAGCAAAGAGTATTTTACTCTTTTCTTTTATGGATTTAAGGTGAAAATTAGATGATCCCCAAGTTCCTTTCTATATCTAAAAGTCAAGGAGCATATTTGTCAGTAATTTCAGTAGATACAATTATAGGTTTCCCCTGCTATCCAAAAGTAAAACATTTCCATGCAATCTTTCCTCGGTCAACATTATATAAATTAATGAAACAATTAACATTTTATATGGAAAGATTTTCCAAGACCCCCAAAATAACCTATTAAATCATGCTTTGTAACACATAAAACCTATACTGACCATAACATAGAGTAAAATCAAGAATGATGTGACACAGGTGAAGTCATATAAAGTAATTTTAGGGATGGAGAATGGTGGCAACACTCTTGATGCTCAAGGTAAGAGCTGACTCTATTATGGATGCTTCAAAACAAACTGCTTTTTTTGCCTTTGTCATAAAAATGAAAATCCTCTTTGGTTTTCTTTCACTTAACAAAAACAGGTATTAATGTAGGTCTTTTGTAAAAGTAAAGTGTTGTAAATGGAACTTTCAAAAAAGCAGTGAATACTTAATAGCTGTATTCCCATTTGCAGGGAATGAGGAAAGAAAGGTTAAGAGGATGTAAATGATTTCTTAAGGTCACCTAATGAGTATATAATGAAAGTGGGATTTTTGCCTGGACATCTCCCCGACTTTGTCTCATAAAATGAAAACTAATGTTGAAAGTAATGGAGAAAAACAACTTGAAAGAACAAATCTTGAAAACAAAATAGGCAAGTGGCTATTTTAAAATCTAAGTGAGGAAGAACTCCACCCACAACATGTTGAAATAAAGAGATTGGAATTATCCTCTCCCTTGAAAACAACTACAGAAAAGATGAAAACATGCTCCTAGAAAAAAATATAAATGCCTTGAAGCAGTTATAGTGCCCCAGGACTTCCCCAGGGAATTCAAGAACTAAGGTTAGTGTCCACTGAGAAAAAAGAATAGGAGGATGCAAGGGGAAACATGTCTAGGCTTGGGTTGAATTCCCAAGCCATGTAGAAGTAACAAAGGACATTGCAGATTTACTTGGAGGAATTTTCCTGAAAGAAATGTGAGCTGGGACCCAACCTGGGGCAGTGAGAGCTCAGCAGACTCTGTACTGGGAAATTAGGAGCCCTACAATTGGGGCAGCATGCCCACTAAAAGTTCCTTCCAGGCCTCCCTGGTGGCGTAGGAGGTTGAGCGCCGCACTGTGAGGCTGTCTGTAGCCTCTGCAGCGTGGGTTCGATTCCGGCCAGCCAGCAAGAATCCCACATGGCACAGCAGACCTCTCTTGTCTTGCCCACTGCTCCCCTCAGCAGTGTATTTCGTCAGTCTGCCTGTTCTGTTTCCCGCTCTGTCTCTGGTGAATATTCTCACCCTCTCAGGCATCCAGCCTTGTATAAATAAGTGAATTTTTTTTTTCATTTATTTATTTATACAAGCACTGGGTACAGTCAGAAGCGCGGAAGGGTTTGAGAATTCACCAGAGTCAGAGGGGAGAGCAGAGTAGGCAGACTGATGATACACTGCTGAGGGGAGCAGCGGGCGGCAGGAGTGGTGTGCTGCACCATGTGGGACCCTCGCCAGCAGCCGGGGATGGAACCAGAGTTGCAGAGGCTGCGGGCAGCTTCGCAACCCAGCGCTCAACTGCTGCGCCACTGGGGAGGCCCTAAACAAGTGAATCTTAAATAAATAAACAAACAAACAAACAAATAAATAAATAAAATAAAAGTTCCCTCCTTGCCCCTTCCTGAAAGAGATCAAAGAAAAGTCAGGCCAAGATAGCCCACTCTCAATAAAAGGCCCAACAGTAGAAAGAAGGAATTTAGCATCTACTCACAAATCCTTCCCAGCTGTGAAAAAGCAGCAAAGGCAAGGGCAGTGTAGCGGCAGTCATTTCGTGGATCTGGCATCAGTCATGTTAAGTGGGCCCACATGTGCCTGCTAAACACACACACACACACACCCCCCACCCACCCCCACCCACCCCGCCTATGAGTCAGTTGCAAATTATTCCCAGATTGTAAGTTTTGAGGTCTTAGAGGGAAGTGAAGACAGTGAATACAGCTTACTGTGGAACAAAACAAGAGGTAGAGGTGACTCGTATAACTCCTCAAGCCTAAATCAATAATTAAAGCTCTAAACCCCTCTCCTACCTCCACTCACATCAAGGTAAACTAAGGAGACAGCAAAGATAAATCCCCAATGCCCCAACTCACATCAAGGTAAACTAAGGAGACAGCAAAGATAAATCCCCAGTGCCCCAACCACATACATAAATACATATAAATACATACACACACATAAATACCTATAAATAAGGCAAATATACATGCCTAGGAACCAAGGAACATCTCAACACAGCATGGAAATGAAAAAATGAGGGTAGAAGTCCTGGACAAATATATAGAAGACAGAAATAGATAAACTATCTGACAACAATTTGAAAACAATAAAATTTAAAATGTTAAATGAGATACTGGAAGGCCAGTCAAAGGCAGATAAGCAGATGCAAGGTCTCAGAAAGGAGATACAAGAACAAAGATAATTATTAAATAAAGATATTAAATACATAAAAAGCTCACAGAGATATTCTGAATGAAGTACATAGAAACTTAGTGCTTTTAATAGAATTAAAATGGCAGAAGAAATAATTTCAGCTGTGGAAAACTCAAATGAACAAATTGCACAGAGGAAAGAGCATCAAGACAAAGGAAAATTGAGGAAACTACAAGGAGCGACCCATATAGCGCATCAGACCTCACCGGCTGCTCTCCTCAGCAGTGTGTTTCCATTGATCTGCCTGTTCTGTTCCCTGCTCTGTCTCTGGTGGATCCTCTCATCCCACACACCTCTGGCCTGTACCCCAGTTTGTGTATGCATAAATAAATAAATCTTTTTAAAAAAAAATTCATAGTAATAATACAGGCTCACTTAAAAAAATCTAAATTTAACATTAATTCTTCAGTTGAGAAAACTAGAAAAGAACAACAAAAACACTCAAAAACCAAGTCAAGGATAATAAAAACTAGAACAGAAAAAAAGGAAATAGAAAATAAAAGTCAGTACTAAAATTCATTGAAACTAAGAATTGATTTTTGAAAAAAATAAACAAACCAAGCCATTAGCTGTGCTTATGAAAAAAAGAAGCAAGAAAACCCAAATTAATAAAATTAGAAATAAAATCAAAATAGATACTGCAGAAATACACAAAATAATAAGAACCTATTATAAGTCTTTATGCAAACATACTGGACAATCTAAAAGAAATGGACAGCTTAAATAGTCAAATTACAAGAACTGAAATTGAAAGAGTAATAAATCCTTCCCCAAGAACAAAAGCCCAGACCTATAAAAAAAGATCTATTACATATCAGACCTATAAAAAAAGATCTATTACATATCCTACTCAAATTCTTAAAAAAAAAAAAAAGAGAGAGAGGTATCTTTCCAATACATTCTGTGAAGACAACATTATCCTGGTCCCCAAACCAAATAAATATAGTATGAAAACGACAATTGCAGACCATTATCTCTGACGAACATGGATGCAAAAATTCTCAACAAAATCCTAGCAAACCAAATATAGCCACTTATGGAGAATCATCCACCATGATTAAGTAAGCTTCATCCCAGGGATGCAAGGCTGTTTCAACATACATAAACAATGCCATCCATCAGGTCAACAAAAAGCCACATGATCGTTTCAATAGATGCTGAAAAACCGTTAGGCAAGATCCATCATCTATTTATGATAAACACTCTACAAAATCGGGAATAAAAGGGAACTATACAAATAAAGCTGTATGTGACAAACCCGCCCACAATATAATACTTTTTTTAAAAAAACATTTTTTTAAGATTTATTTATTTATTTATTTATACAAGCACTGGGTACAGTCAGAAGTGCAGGAGG